CATTATATTTAAGTTGTTATAGCAATAAATTTTAATAGTACCAGTTGATACACCAATAATGTTCTGTTTAGTACTCAGTTATGATAAATTATAACTTAAGCAAATATGAAGTTCTGGTCTTGCGTTAGCAGAAGAACATGTGATCAGACTTAAAACAGGCCAAAGCATAATCTGACATACACAATTAACAGAAAGCGACATGAAACTTAGGGTGGCTCAGCTCAGGAAAGTAGAGGCAGATCCTACACCTGCTTCTTTAAAATGTAGATGCTTAATGATTAAAAAAACCTAAATTATTACACCTTACTAGGCAGTAAGAAAAGTTTTGGCTTTTCTCCAAAAGTGTTGTTTTTGTGTATCGTTACTTAAATGGTAGGCTAGGCAGGCGAGGAGAATAAGCATTGATAATGGGAAATCATGGTACTTTGCTGATGCTCTTTTAGCATGTCTTCCTCTCTGGATTTTTAACAGATCAATTAAATTACACATATTTATAAGGTTGCAAAATAACAGGAAACCATCCTCCAAGGACTAGGACTGTATGTCTTGGCTGTTTCCAAGGCGCTGTTAACAAGTGTCAGCATGCACAAGTCTGTGAGAGTGAGATATGAATCATGAGCAAAGAAAATTGCTTGGTATTTCATTCCTTTTTTAATTCAGAATGTGAAGAACAATGTGCATTATTTGTTAGTATCAGGAAAAATGCGAGTCAAAGAGAGATTAAGAAAGAAATGGTGCTAGCCAAAATTTTTCTGTGGCTTAGAAAGAGGGGGAAAGTAGAAGAAAGAGAGATTATTTTCCTCATGTCTCTAGAAAGGATAAGGCTTAAATTTTGAAGTGTTGGTTGAGAAGAGCATTGCGTAGCATATATACTCCTTCAAAGTGCTGATGAAGGGGAAAGTATATTGTGAATGCAATAACTGACCTAACTAATATGTCTGAATGAAGATGTGTATTGATTTGTTTATGAGCAATGCTAAGCCTCTAAACATATAAATGTAAAATGGTAATTCTCCACACTGAAGTTTATGAGCTTCCCTGAATGAAGTGAGAAACAGACCTGCTTAAGTCACTCCATAAGCTTGCAAGCAAGGGAAAGGTGTGCAAGTATGATAAATGTAACATACATTAAATTTATCTATTTCATATAGATGGCCTAAGAGTCAAAAATTAAACCGAAGAAAGGTTTTTCAGACTGAAGTACAGTGGCAATCTAACAGCAAAGATGAAGTTACTATAGGAACTGTGGAGTGATGGAGGCAACAGGGGGCCAAATGGCTAAGCAGAACTTTTGCTTCCCTCTCACTTCCTGGTATGTGCATTTTTCCTTAAGATCAAAGCTAATCCTACACTTTGAGCATCTAGGAAAAAATGTGGAAGATGCAAGCTGAAGCTGACATCATACAAACTAAGACTTCCCAGAAAATAAATATTATAAAAAATACAAGAATATATGAATAAGTGCATATATGCACTTTATTTAGAATGGATTGCACTTTAGTTCAAAAATAAATAACATTTTCCTTAACAGTTGTAAGCTTTCTTTTCTACTAATTTCTTGCCACTGCTGCTTTGTTTTTCAAACAGTGCATCTTTAAAATTAATAGAAATTACACATTTAATGTAAGCAGTCTATAATGTAGTCTCAGTTGGGCACTTGGGTCCTTCTAGTAAGGGCCCACCACCAGAGCAGTGCAGAAGGTGCTCAATATGGCTGGGGTTATTAATTTCACAATATCATTATTTCTTCTGCTAAGCCTCAGGTCTAGTGGGAGGCAGAGCTGGTCAGCATTTGGCCCGTACGTACAGGCATAATCTGCAGGCGGCATGTTTTTACACAATTCTGAAGCAGCAGTAGTCAACCTAGTTAACTACCTGGGGAACACAGGTCAAGAACAACACAAGCCTTTTTTTGGTCTAAAAGATCATTTACAGTACACAGAAAGAGACAACTGTTCCTTGACATTTTTAACAATAAATTCCTGATTTTTTTTTTTAGATAAAGAATATTGCCTCTTCAAGACTATCTTTAAGAATATTAAATATCTGCTTCTGGTGGTCCTCTGTGAATTAAGTGCTTTTTGTCAGACTAAAGTCATTAGCAAGGTGCAACTAAAAGACGAGAGATCCTACAGTCTTTCCTGGATACCGGAAAATGTGTGTGTTCATGCAGGATTGTGTACTTATTTAGGCCATAAAGTGTGTTAGACATGGAATATATGTAGAGTTAGGAATAGGGATCAGTCTATAGCCAAAGCCTGAAGATTTACAGCCTTGTAACTGATAATAGTAGTATGCTGAGGTTAAGTGAAATTTGCACAATTTTCCATCTTTCTAGTCTGTCTTTAATGAACATGGCTTCATTCACTTTCTTGGATGTATTCTTAAGTATAGGGAATGAGCTGTTGCTATAGGATACTTCTAATTTAGTTATTTGCTGCCAGGCAAAAGCTCTGCAACATTTTCAGTGAAAGGTTTGAAATAATTGTTTCTCCAGAAAAGAAAAAAACAAAACAAAACCAAACCACTATAATATATTTATGATTTACTTGTGTTCATTTTCACATACGAAAATTTCTCTTAATAGTAGCAGAAATAGTGACCGTGGATGGACTCTGAGATTAGCTCTAAAGAGCAAGCTGTGGTGGGAGACTAGAAGACATAAATACTCTAACTAGTAATATGATACACTTTGAATTTATCAGTTGCTTTATACAGAGCTGCTGAGATATCAGAAGAAAAGACAGCCATACTCTTTTTTCCACATGAGTACTCACAGCAATGCAGATAACATCAGGTGTGTACAGCTGTAATGCAAGTATATTTATCTCTATACAACAATAACACATGGGAGAGAGATAAACAGGGGCAAACCTTTAGCTGACAGCAACAAATATCTTTACAAACAGGATTCGATTGTCTACATGGGAAAGGCATCTTTGAAGACCTGAGATTGGACAAGTAAGAAAGAAGAAGGTGTTGAGTACTCCCAGGGGACTGGTACAAAAGAGAATAGAGAGGAACGTTTGGCTATTGCCTACTCTCACACTACAATGTAGGCTGCGAAGGTAGTATATCAAAAACTCTTTGTACTGTTTTTTTTTTGCTAGGATAGGGTTAATTTTCTTCATAGTAGCTCATATGGGGCTAGGGTTTGGATTTGTGCTGGAAAGTGTTGATAATGCAGGGAAATTTTTTTTTGTTATTGTCAAGCAGTGCTTACACAAAGTCAAGGCCTTTTCTGCTTCACACAGCACCCTACCACTGAGTAGGCTGGGGGTGCACAGGAAGTTGGGAGGGGACACAACTGGGACAGCTCACCCCAACTGACCAAAGGGATATTTCATGCCATATGGTGTCATGCTCAGTATATGAAGCTGGGGGAAGAAGAAGTAAGAGGGGGATGTTCAGAGTTACAGCGTTTGTCTTCCCAAGTAACTGCTACACATGATGGAGCCCTGCTTTCCTGGAGATGGCTGAACAACCCGCCTGCTGATGGAAAATAGTGAATTAATTCCTTGTTTGGCTTTGTTTGTGCACAAATTTTTTGCTTTACCTATTAAATATCTCTATCTCAACACATGAGCTTTCTCACTTTCACCCTTCTGATTCTTTCCTCCATCCAGTGTGGGGAAGTGAGGGAGCGGCTGCATGGTGCTTAAGAACAGCTGGATTTAAACCATGACAACCTTCCATGCAAAAAATCAGCTCAGTGTTATGAAAATGTTATTTCCAGGTTCTGAGTGGACTTTCTCTTTTAATTGTCTTGGAGAAAGGACAAAGGGAGAATCACAATCTACATTGCTGCCTCTCAAGTAAATACAATAGACTAGTTCCTCATCCTTGCTCCCCTTCAGTTCCTTTTAAACACCCTTTCAGTGAATAACAAAGCTGACTCTTTCCTCCGACAAGGGATACTTAATCTTTCAAAGATGTATGTTTGAGAAAAACATCTCTGCCTGCCTGGGACTCTGCCTACTTCTCTTCTCATCATGACACACAATAATTTCATCCAACCTCAGATACAAAATGGTACTAGATAACCACATCTTACGAATGATTGTTTATTCCTTATGATTATTTATCAAATACAAGATACATAGGCAAAGTACTGGTAAATAAATGTTATATGCTATATTTTCCCTTTTCCTAGTTTACAATCCAAGACAGGTAGAAAGTCATCCTACAGATGACCAAGAAGACAAAGTTTCCAACCCATTTTAAGTTTGCACATATATACCTTTCCCGAGGTACTTAAGCCAAAAAATGCTACACCAAAGCTTGTCTTGGATCATCATTTTGAAGCTGTAACACAAGTCACCACTTTGAGTGCCACTTGAGATGAAACAAATGTGTGTTTGACTTCACTCAGCACAGAGATTTTTATATAAAGGGAAATATGATTTGGTTAATGTGGAAGTTGCTACCAGAAACAGCAAGCTCTTAGTTAAAAAGGAGCAAATCAGTCAGAAACGCTTTTTTCTTTGGCCTACAAAGTGGAATTATATTGTTCATAAAAAGCATAAAGAGGGACTCTATAATACTGTACTCATTTATTGGATAATTATGACTTGGTGATTTTACTATACTTTGTTATCTCAATGATAAAAATGGACAGGCTGACATCGTACTTGTGTTGTTATTCAGCAAGACATCCTATTGCCCGTACATGTATAAGAAGATGTAACAGTCAACCTTGACTAATTCATCCTGTAACACAGACTCTCTCTCAGGCAAGTTTAAAAACAATAGTTTCAGATACCATAGATCTTAGTATTGTATTGATATGTAACATTAATTCATAGCAACAAATTAATGTCAAACAGTAAAATGGTGAATAGGTGTGTTCTAGCAAAAAGAAAAGTGAAAAAGAAGGGAAAAGGCTAGATATTTTAAACAATTTATTTGTTACTATAGCCCAAGGCTTCTTCCGGATTCTTTTCAAGCTGCAATAAAAATTATATTAAATATTTAAAATGTGAACAGGCAAGTTTACTTACTGTTTCCTGGATGCCAGCGCACTGCATTTAAATATGCATTACAGTAATGGAAGAGAAATTCATGCTTGGATCGGGTAACTTTTCCTTGAAGTAAGGGCATCAGATCATGTCCATCAATAATTCTGAACAAGAAAGCATTTCAAAATCAGAAGAATAACCCAAACCTCACTTTACTGAGAAGATATTATAACTTGGCATTTCCATTACTTAAAAAAATAAATCTGAATGGCCACTTCCAGTTGGAGTCAGCTGGCAGGTAAGAAATGACAATCTGCATTTTTGACCTGGTGTGAATCATAAATTTTACAATAATTTTTATAGGAAATTACTTTTTATTAATATACAGGTCAGTAGGTAGCTCTTTTTTAAGCACTTTGAGCAACATCTCACAAACTGTTTTTAAAACTTTTTAAAAGTTTACAAATGTCTATGTTCATTTTCATTACCATGTAAAACCTTTTTCACATCAGTGTAACTACTACAAGACTGGTCACTAATTTCACTTTTTTTAAGCCATGAGCTTCGTATGACTAAGAAATTCTTGGCAAAGATTGTATGCAACAGTAGCATTCAGAGCAGGACTCTTCTCAAAGGATGGGCAGGAAAACATCCTGGAATTCCTAAACCTATGTCCAATAACTCTCCTTTTGGGGTGCATTCCTGTCTTTGGCGGTCTGTGGAACTAGAATCTTTCCCACTTTCAGTTTGCTGTGTTTTCTTGCCCATGTAATGCACTCTTGTCTCACTCCTGCAGGCTTGCTCACTGTCAAGCTGAGAGCAAGACAGATGACTGTCTATTGTACGCTTTCTGTTCTATAGCCAGTTGATGGGGAAAAGGGTGTCTCCAGTAATATGTCTCCAGTACTCTCGCATTCCCGCAACTGTTGGTTTCAGGGAGATATATGAGACTTTTCTTTCTGGTGACTATTTTTTCTTCTTTAACTAGGAGCACCTCCTCCTTTCCTTTTTAACCGGCTCCCTTCCAGTGACTGAATCATAGTAATTTCTCTTATTTCTCAGGAAGAATTCAGTGATAGGAATTCAGCAGCTGGATCAAAAAATGCTTCAAGATAGTCCATGACCTACCATGAAGCAGTATTACGGCATCTAGTCTACACAGAAGAATCAAAGTGGAACAACTTGCCAGTGGAAGTCATACAAGTATACTGGGATTTCTATCAGAGATCAAAATGAAACATTGGTGCTTAGCCTTCACTCAAGCAATATGAAAACAAAGTGCATGAGATCTGCTCACATTAAGAACAATCTGAACTGCTTAGGTTCGACAGAGTTACTGCTCGTGGGGGATCTCTCAGGACCAGCCTGACTAATTTTTCATGTCTTACATATGTCCTGCCCTGCCATTTCCTTCAAGCACTCAATGAATCATCATTAGCAGAGTGTCTCGCTCACCACTGTTTTTCCCCACGTGTATTCCAGATGCTTTGTGCTCAAAAGCTGTTTGTGTATGGTAGATGTGTTCAAAGCACATGCATATGAGCAGATTTCTCCACTCATTGGATTTGGATGGCAATAGAGTTTAGGTGGAGGCACCTTGCTGCTGAGACTGGGTATCTCCTGAACAAGACAAAGCACAGGGATGTAGGAGTGTCAGTAAAGCTTCTTATGAATTTTAGAAGCCCAGTGTGTTTTCTTATCAGGCTGCAAAACTCTGTAAGCTAACTTGGTAGAGAACAAAAAAACTTGTGAGAAAAGCCTCACTGGAATTTTGATGAGTTTTGTTATACACGGAAGGACAAGGTTGAGCTCACAAAGTTTAAAATTATTTACACTTGCAGTTCCTTTTTCTACCATGTTCAGTCATTCAGAACAAAGCCTTTTTGATACATTCATTTTTGGTTTTAGTAAATAATTGTAGGCCCGATTTGACAGTATGTTGCTCCTGGTGGTATACTTTTATCTTCTTGGTGCTTGTGTGCTTGGTGCTTGTTCTGCAAGTTAAGCTGTATTTACCTACAACGTTTCTGTAAAATACATCAGTATGCCAATATGAAAAGAGAAAACATACCACTGTAAGTAACGACAAAAAAGTGCTTTTAAAAATCTACTCTTTTTTTCTTTTCATTCTCACATCTATCTTAATAGACATCACCAGAATGTATAAAACACTCACAAGACTTTCTCTAAAACATAGATAACTACAGAGTGTACCTGTCAGAGGGTAACTGTGCCTCGGCAAGGTTGGCTATGGTAGGAAATATATCCATGTTACTTGTTGGCTCATCAATATAGGTACCAGCCTGTATCACTCCAGGCCAACAGATAAGCCCTGGCACACGAATACCTCCTTCCCAGTTCGTTGATTTTCCACCTGAAAAATGAAAGTTTTGTTTGCCAAGACATCAGTTTCTTCTCAGAAAAATATCCCCCCCCCCCAATTAAATTTCCAAATATTAAACATTCTGTTTAGCTAGAATATTTTCATTAAATGTATTTATCTTAAATTGCTACATTTAGATTTTCCACCTGCAGTCAGTACCTTTCTCACAGTAAATCTACTAAGATGTACTAGAAAGAGATTATAAAATGTATTTAGAAAGAGATTATAAAATGTATTTAGCTTACAAACAAAATTAAATAAGAGCTGTAGGAGATAAAAAGTCACCTTGTAAGAATCTTCATATAGAATTTGGTCTAGATAGTGTGCCACATAGCTATGTGAAGATATAACAACAAATAACAAAAATTAAAAATAAATTGAGGTATGCCTAGATATCTGAGGTATGAACCCAGAGAAGATATATGGTATTTTATTAAAAAATGGTGCTAGTGACTTTAGATAGAAGAAAGTACTAATTTAAGTCTGTTACTAAATTCTCCAATTCAATGTGTCAGGAAGAAATCTGCACTAGTGATGTTAGATCTCAGGACACTGTGAAGATCTTTTCACTTCTAAACCAACGCAGTTGCACCAAATGCACTATCAACTGATTGCATTCAACACTACATTGCAGCCATTTCCTTTTTTTCTACAATACCCATCACTGGCCAGTCCTCCCGACATCTTTGCAAAAGGGCAATGTGTTTATTCCATGACTACATTTCTACCATAACCTAATATATGACTGACACAACTCTGTATGAAGAGCTTTCACAAGTGCTCTTAATTAATGCCTTACAAGGTCAAGTGACTATGTACAGCATTTTTGATCTTTGAAACTAGTATATCACTTGAAAAAAAATATTTTGGGGTTTTTGGTTGTGGTTAAGCGTGGTCTGGGCCAAGCATTTACAACTAAATTGAGATTGCTTTATATAACAGAGATGTCCGAAATAAGATAAATACGTGCGTTTAACTCCTTCCATTAGCTGAATCAAACAGCAATTCATGGTTCAAACAAAACTACTATGAGCCTATTTTTCCTGTATCTCCCTTTTTTCAAGCGAAAAACCCCACAAAATAACAAAATATTACAACAAAGTACCTCAATAGTTCTGTCTCCTCAGTCTCTTGGGCCTTCAAATCACCACATCGATGCTAATATCTTCAGCATCAAGCCCAGGCCTTGCCATACATGATGTCTGTCTTAACTGACTCCTTAGTGATCTTTTCTGTTTGAGCATTGGAGGATTCAGAATCCACCCATTTTCCTGCAGGTTTTTCACTGCTCAATAAGGTTTTCTACACGTTTTTTGCTGTTCATAAAGGTAAGTAGCAACTTCAAGAAGGAAAACTCTCTTTTGCATAGGTCTTTACCCATTACATATAAATACAGTCTTGTGACTGAAAAAACTTAAGCTCATGATTCTTCCTTGTATCAGATTTTTGCTTACTTTTTTCATGGGCTGTTTCTGAATTCATAATATTGAATAGTCAGAGACACATAATTATATAGTTTGATAGCAGAAAACTTGGACTTTCTAATATCCGACATTACATCAAGTAACAATCTTTGCTTAAGTTGTTTCTGGAAAGCAGTGCCAAGTTCAGATGTCACCAAGACTATCTGTCTTTTAGAGAAGTCTTAAACATTTACTCTTGTCACTGTGTCAAATGCAATTAATTCCATCCTCACAATAAAGCACGTAGCTACCTATTCTAAACCTCGGGAATGAGATGCACAGATTACTTTTCTTCCATTCTTGTAAAAAAAAAAAAAGGATTTTCAAAACAAAAATCTGAGGCAAATGTAGATTTAAGTTTATAAAGGTGAGATTTAAAACACTTGTCACCTATCAGAAGGAAGTGTTCACCCAGCAGTATGCTGCTCACTACACTCATACAGTTGGGTCGACACCAGTATTGATGCCTATAGACTGTGTGCATCTTCTGTGGAAAAGATTACTCTATCCATGTACAACAGTCATGAGGATTTTAAAAGTTAGCTGGGGATTATGTGTTACCTAGCAGAAAAGTGTCAAGATTAATATCCTGACTGAGCTACGGTTCACAGAAAATCATGTTAAACAGGAGTAATTAAATCTGAATAAAAATACAAGAAAAGTATAAGAACATAAAATTACAGACATCCTCAAATTACTATATTTTCATTGAACAGTTACACCAGGGAGATAACTTAGTTCATGAGCTGGATCTTAGCTCTGTATACACATCACAGCAGCTTGTTGGCTGGACAGTATGGACAGACAGAAAACTCTAAGAGCTGATCTATACCATAGGTAGCTCTAACTGTGAGGTCCCTTTTATTTCTGTGTACCTGTCTGAACGAAGTGACAGTCCTAGCTAGATTGAATTGTTTAAATAAATTCTTGTTTTACTGTTGCCTCCTGTGTAATCTGAAGACAGAGCAATTTCAAGGTAAGCAGTGAATCCCATTCCCACACATTGCGATTCTTAAAACCTAGATATTGGACGACTTTCACAGCTCCTAGGTTCACAGCACAATTTTCTTGGATCATTACAGAACAGGACAGAAAACTTGCACATTATTCAAGCACAAAGGGAGCACTTGGCAAACTCTGCCTCCCTGCTGTGAGGTACAAAAAGCAAAATGGACTCCACAGCAAGCCTATCTCCTCACTTATGTCTATGAAGAAGTGACTGCTGTTTTCTTTTCAAAAGACTAATTGGAGCATAATTTTTTGATATCTCTGGAAGTTAGGAATAGCGGGGAACCAGGACAGGAATTACAGGTCACTGTGGAAGACTGTCTTCTACTATCTACGGCTACATGTTGTTCATCTTTATTAGAACTGTGTTTGGTGACATCACTAAAGTTGTTTAATGCCATTATATGATCACAAATCCTCTGATATACATTTTCTTTAAAACTCTAGCTGTTAAACATTGTTCAAACTATCTGCATTCTTTCTTCCTTAAAAGATAAATCAAGGTTTCACTACTAATGCTTGAAACATGAAGCAAATACCCAAATGGCTAAAATCTTAGAAGGAAAATTAAAAAATCCACAAAAGGTCATTATTTAAAAATAAAATCTCTTAATATTTCAGGATCTGACTCATTAGGTTTTTATTTTGCTTAGACTTGACAACAGTGAAACACAGAAAAGGCAACAACCTAGTAGTCTGTATGCCTGGCAAACTCTAGGAAGCCTAACTATATATTATTTTTGTTCTCTTAAATTCTCCTAAAAATGTTTTTAAAACAGCATAAAACACCCTGGGCTGTATTTTCACGCTTAGCCATCTGTGCTTTCTGAACAGTTGCACCATTCAGTGTTATATTGAACAATAGCCTACATTCACCTTTCCTGAAAAATCTGCAGGAGAAGGCAAAGTACAGACATAACTCTCTGCAGCCATCCACAACATGATGTCAAATTTCCATTTTAACCTCATTGCAAATCTTAGCTACAAGAATATATCTTTTTTTTCTCCCTGTGGTTTAAATTCACTGCTCATACGTAACTCTGGGAATAGAGCTTTTAGAAAAGATGATATATAAAGGAGAACTCTCTGGTATATCACTATTAATATTTTGAATGATGAACGATGAAAACTGTTTAAAATAACTTTCTCAGATCACTTGGATTATAACCATACTACTCTTTCCTTCCTTCTTATATTCTTCTAAAAACAAAGTTTCCAAACCAAATTTATTCTCTTGAATGATGATGCAAGGAAATTAATTATTCAACGCATCTGTAGTGTACTTTATGTTACAAATATTGACAATCAAAACCGGTTACTATTGCTTACCTTATAAAATGATCAAACAAAAATTTATTTTTAATGGTAAGCTCAATCTTTATTTTACTGATTTTTAATCTGTTTCATGTACTGCTCTTTTTAGTTTTCAACCCAAGATGTTCTTGTACAGGTGAATGTAATAGACGTAGCACATAGCTCATTTGGACATCTTCTCATCTGACCTTTCTTTCAATCAAGTGAAATGGTCTCTCAGGATATTTTCTGTTTCAGTCAAAATTACATGACGGATTGATTATTTAAAAATCTGGATCACTTCAGAGAGAGTATAAAAATAAAGTACATTTGAAAAAAAAAGGTCAATTCCTGCTTTCATTAAAATAAAAAATGAAACTCCAACTAATATCACTAAATATGCAATAGCATAGTTCCTGAGGCCAAAGCAATGGTCAGCTTAATTTTTCTGTGGCTTACAGATAGGAAAAGGTTTACTAACTGTTGAATGAACTTGTCACTGCAGTATATGAAATTGTGTAAAAAATAATAAATGTCAGCAAAATACTGGATAGCTGATTCCTCCAGTCCTTGTTCAGCTCTCACAAATCTGTAGTAGATTTTAAAAATCAGGGTCTAAGTCCTTAAGAAACATTCATTATTATTTTTCATGGATATTAACAAAGCAACTATGAATATACCTATTTCTAAGGCAGAAAGCAATTAAAATTAATGTTGTTCAAATGGTTTGCCATTATCAGTGCTTGACTCCATTTCCATTAGCAGCAGAAATCATGACCCACTCTAGCAGCATGACAATAGCCAAGTGCCTGTATGCATTGTGCTAAATGCTTCACAAATACAAAGAAAGATAAGGTTTCTAATATGCAGGCCCAATGTACAAGCAACATATATTTAGCTACAGATCCAAAGAAGCTGACAGTAAGAGTATTAAAAGAGGCAAGGACACTCCATAGAAAATCCCATATGTAACAGAGTGGGCTAGTCGTCAACAAGTGATAACAAGGGAGGACTTCTACTGTCTGCATATGTACCAGTGAAATAGTATAATAGCGTGGAAAAAAGTTTTTAATGCCTTCACTGTTTACTGCTATAAAGTATGCAACAGGAGAGACATATTTTATGACATGTCATAATTAAATGAGTCACTATGCAACTAAATAAAAATTACCACAAAATAATTAGATTCAATATCTCAGAGTAGCAAAGAAGAATATATTGGCATCT